TGTCCTTTCAGAAGATCAGGAGTGACCTGGTTAGAGAACGTACAGCGAATAAATAAAACCTTGGAGAGGACAACTGTGCTCTGAAGAAGATCTCATTACCTGAGTGTCTCGTTCGTCTGATTCATCCGTCTGGTCACTACATGACCGGGAGGTGGACAATTTCTCTGTTCTGTGAAGCAGTTTTGCAGCATGTGGAGATATGGTCTCTTTTCCATTATGAACTCCGGGCAGTGTGCTGTGCTTATTCTCCTCCCTTTGGTTCACCGAAGAGCCGTCTACGCTATGGTGTCGAGCCCCAGCTGACCCCAAGAGATATGTCCCACCTGGGGTCTCCCCTCTGAGGCCCTTAAGAGATGAGGGTCTGCTGGAGGAAGAGGAGCACGTGGAGGAGTCTGAGGGATGTCTGCTGTCCACACTACGTGACCTTCGACACTGCTCAGGGTCCAGCCTGTTCCTAGGACCACCCCTTCCCCTCCGCTGGCTGCTGTTGAACTGGCTTATCAGCTTCCCCACAGATATGATGGAGTCTGTTTCCACATAGTTCGGGGATCGTGCAGGGATGTGTCCACATGCAGGAAGCATCTTGTTCTGGGCTACTTCAACTGGGCCCTCAGCTGGCAAAGGGATCCTGGGTTTGGTCATGTTGGGGGTTTTCTCAGGAGAAGGTCCAGGTTGGGCAGCTGAGGTCATTTGTGAAGGAATGAGGCGAGTGAGGTTATTACTTTCAGGGTCATAAGGGCTCAGAATCTCTGGATGTTGCTGATAATGAAACCCAGAGGAGGAAGCAGGCCTCTGTGTCTCAGCTGGGGAGCGTCCCTCATCCACTGACCTCCTCACCATACCTGGGTTGTACCCGGCCTGGTGAGTTATGACAGAGACGTCCCTGTGGCTATCCTGGCCCGAACTGTTCAGAACGATGAAAGGTTGACCTTTAATCCCTTGAACCTGAACCCTCACTCCAAACAAGTTGTCCTGCTGCTGCACGTAGCTCCTCTGTATCCTGACGTCCGAAGAGCCGCTGAGTCTGTGAGAATCCATCCTGACTCCACGAGATGAACTGGCAAAAAACAGACAAGTATAGGTTGAGAGACTGCACTGAAGGAGACTGATTCTGTGTGGGAAGGTGAACTGAAAACTGATGCATCTGGTTGGTCAAGCTGAGATTGATGTTTACAAAACAGAGGAGCCGGGTTGGAGCGTCAATCACACACACACACACAATAAACAGACGCTGAGAACAGCCTGATATTGCTGTGCAATGAAAACAGCTCCTCCTGTGTGCTAATGACAGCGTACTATTGTACAGCCAGAGCTGAGCCCATGGAATGACGACTACAGCTGGCCGAGGTCTCCGAGGTGTCGTCACCCGCATCATGGTATGACGCTTGAGGAAAATGTTTGTCAACAAATATGTTACTGTGAGGGTGACACACCAGAACAGAGGAGGTGTTGTGTGGAAGACAAAACGACATCTTCCTAAACGCACCATCCTCTGCATGAATCCTTTAATTTATGACACCACAGACTGTAGCTCCTTTATTAAAAGAGCACGTTCAGGAAGAAAAGTGTTAAGTAGTGCGGTATCCTTCAAAAGAGAATTATTGCCTGTTATGAATGGCTTTAATAAAAGTAATCAATCATTCACTGATAGATCTGTTATGTTATAAGTCATTAAGAAGAACCATTTTTGGGTTGCCAGGTTGTCCTCCTCAAGCACACTTGCTCAGTCCTCTTAAATTGACTGTTAAATTAATCAGGAAGTCCATTCAAGTAGGCTTTTTGAGTAATTTTATGCGACTAAGGTCTCCAGACTCAGACCTGGGACATTGTGATTCCATGACCAGCGTGGGTTACCACGGAGACCTCAATTCTAAACTGAATTGTTGGTTCTTTTGAACCTTCACCAGAAGGATCATTTTGAAGTCATGAATAAGTGTTTTTGTGAAGGTTGTGAGGAATCCTCCTCTATCAAGTTGCTTCCTCGACCTTTAAATCAAACTCTTAAGATTCATCAGAAAGTCCATTCAAATTGACTGTTTGACCGCAGAAACTCATTCATCACCAACTTTAACAACATCGCTTCATCATCACTGGCTTCTTGAAAAAGGTTAGAAAGACATTAAGGGTCTCCTTAATGAATAAAAGCCAAATTAAGTGTCATGCCGAAGCATAGGATTTTATACAATCTGGCAGCCCACTGATGTTCCTATTAATA